ATTTTCAAACGTTAATACTGTTTGTGAATGTCTTAGATCTTTCTTATGAACCACAAGTCGCTTTGCGGTCGGTTCCCCAACAAACATCAAAACCACATATACATATAGAAAGGTACTGTTTAGAAATGTTACTTAAATATATTTCATAATACTTATTGTACAGTTTCTATCTGATATAATTATTAAGATGTTTTGTTTTACATACAAGATTTTGTATTCTATAAAGATGTTAATTAAGATTCAAGTCAGTTGTGGCCTAGTGGTTAAAAGGCCCACCTCTCATGCATGAAACCGCGGGTTCGATCCTGGAAAGTACCAATGTGATTTTTCCGAGTCATATGTACTTTCTAAGAGTATTTAGACATCACTTATTATGCTGATTCCCAAAGAGGGTTGATGTCAGGCAGGCGGTCGGTCGTAAAAACAAATAGCCAAAACTATTCACAACATATAAGGCAGACCCTGGCTATAGCTGGGAAATTGCCATGTAGAAGAAGAATGTTAATTAAGATAATAATGAAGAAATAAGAAATTATGTTAAAGCATTAAGATAAAATTAATTTTGATAGTTAGTTAAAAAGGTTTTGGAATAGTTTGTTAGTTGAAGAAAGCAAAATAATAAGAATTCTAAATAATATTAGGATACATTTTAAAAGCACTTAAAGTTTTGTTGTCATTTAAGCGCCATCGAAAGTTTCATAAAAGTCCGTTAAGCCTTTCAAACTTTATCCGGAACAAACAAAAATACTATTAAATTTGATCAAAAAAATATATAATTTAAATGTATTCATAGTACCTATCCCTACCAATATATAAATGCGAAAATAACTCTGTCTGTCTGTCTGTTACGCTTTCACGCCTAAATTACTGAACTGATTTAAATGAATTTTGGTACAGAGATAGAGTTGACCTTGAGAAAGAACATATGATAGTTTTCATCCCAGACTTTTGAAAAGTTCTCTTGGAAACGCGATATAACCGACCTCCATGCGAGCGAAGATGCGGACGAAAAGCTAGTTAAGTATATATGAAACATATATACAGGGTGACTGGTGAATTACTATCGATACTTGAGGACCTGATATTTGACGATCATATATGACAGAATAAAAATTAATATAACATAAATATTAATAAACTTCTGAGTAAAGTTAACCAAAAGTTAAATAATTAATTACGCATCGCGTGGAGACCCTATAGATTAGGTATACACACACACACACACGCGTGCGGCGGCGTGGTGTTGTATCAGCACGCCGCACGCGTCCACACTTGGAATACTTGGAACGTGTCCACACTTTATTTATTTATACGAAATTGGTCAAAAATTAACTACCTATTTTTTTTACATAATTCGAATGAGAATCATGTACCGAGTAAACTCCTTAAATATTGATAGTAATTCACCAGTCACCCTGTATAAATATCATCGAAAATAAATTCAATAATATTTTCTTATCTGTATTATTTGTTACAATATATATATATATTAATTATTGTATTAACAATACATCGGCTGTATAAACTGGACTGTTTAATTCACAGTTAGTGCAGATTATATATGAACATTTTTTTAATTGCATGTTCAACGCATACTTGACTTCTGTGGCTATGAAACGTCAGCTGACATTAAAAAGAAAGAGGTTCTATAATACATTTAATTATTATTTTTAACTAATTATATGTATATTTGAACCTGTATTTGATAAAAAATTGTGGGTCATTTATTAAGAGAAGCAAATTTTATTGTATCGTAGCAAATTCATGAATTGCTATAAAACCAAAATTTACTTATTATTGTACAATAAATGTCATTACATACATTGTTACCATTACACTGTTTTTTTTTTGTATAATTATCAATTTTTTGTATAATCATAAATATTTTGTCAAATTTAAAGTATAATTTATTTCTAATATAATGATATAGATCATATTTAAGCTACACTCGAGGCCCGACATTGATAGCGCAAGCGTTTCAAGTGACATGTTTTAAATGCGCAGGCGCACGTTTAGCACACCTGCCCGCGTAAGAACACTACTAATGACATGTATTATATATTATTTTAACATATATTTTATATATATAATTGTGAATTATATTTAAAATATATATCTATATATATTTAAATATGTTAAGTCAGTGGTGGCCTAGTGGTTAAAAGACCTGCTTCTCATGCAAGAGGGCGCGGATTCGTTTCTGGCAAGCACCAATATAATTTTTCCGGGTCATGTGTACTTTCTAAGAGTATTTAGACATCACTGATTAATGCATTCCCAAAGAGGGTTGATGTCAGGCAGGCGGCCGATCGTAAAAACAATTAGCCAAAACTATTTCCAACATGTAAGGCAGACCCTGGCTAAAGCTGGGAAGTTGCCAGGTAGAAGAAGAAGATATATAGGGTGACTGGTGAATTACTATCGATACTTGAGGACGTGATATTTGACGATCATATATGACAAAATAAAAATTAATATAACATAAATATTAATAAACTTCTAAGTAAAGTTAACCAAAAGTTATGTAATTAATTACGCATCGTGTGAATACCCTACAGATTAGGTATACACACACACACACATACGCGTGCGGCGGATATACACTTGGAACACTTGGAACGTGTCAACACTTTATTTATTTATACGGAAATTTTGTCAAAAATTAAGTGCCTATTTTTTTACATAATTCGAATGAGAATCATGTACCGAGTATTCTCCTTAAATATTTATAGTAATTCACCAGTCACCCTGTATATGTTAGTTGAATGAAAACCCTGTTAAAGATGTTTCAGCATCAAATCAATTATAATAATCGATTGATTAATAATTGCAATTCTTTTGTAATCTATAACATGAACTACTGTTTAACAGTAAATTGTTTTTTATACACTTTTTAATGACCTGTGATATTTTGCAATAATGTTGACAATGTTTTAGTCAACATTTACATATAAGTAGTTCCCTAGATATGATGCTACTTTATCTTCTTCTACCTGGCGATTCCCCAGCTTTAGCCAGGGTCTGCCTAGTGACGCTATTTTATATAAATAATATTCTAGTTTGTTAACTAACACATTTTTAACAATATGATTTTTTTTTTATTTGTATGAGACCTATAGATGTGTTGATTGATAGATAGAATGTTTTAAGTAAAGTGATATATGTATATACGACACTGGAGCTAAATCATTATATCTTAGGTACATCACTACAGCTAAATCATTCTATCTAAGGCAATAATCTAGGAAGATAACCTGATGAAAAAGACCAAAATTGAGCATCTATCAGATACAGCAATGTAGCGAAATCATGATAATCTGATTTGGTGGACTAAGAGTCGGTATTTTCTTTGGTGGACTCATAATTCTAATATCGAGTTCATAATATTTTATAATAACCACTAACATATGTGAGGATAGGTAATATTTAATTAATATTACTCAAATATTGGATTTTCTGTGATAAAAATATATATTTAGTATCCTATGTAAGTTTGATGACATTCTAATCAATCCTAGAAACAATAATAATTGTAAAAAGTGAAGCTTAAGGATGGCTTAGCCTGTCCCTAATAAAGTTTTTATTCGATGTGTGACATTTAATGAAGACCAATATAAATAACTTATTTATGTTAATCATTGGAATTACCAATATTCACTTCCAAATTACAAACTTTATAACCATTCATCGATATCAGAAATCTGCTAAGTACTGGATAATATATATTTATACGGTTGAGAATCTTTTTGGGTCTTATCAGCAACAATGTTACAAGATGGACTCAGTTAAGTGGTCGAAGGGCGATGAAATGGCAATCAAATTAAAGATGGCGGAGTTCACAAATTGCGTGCAATAAAAAACCGCGCCTAAGCACCTCCAGGAAGACGACAGATGACCGGAAGTCGGATGCGATTTCCATTTCGTGATAAATAGACGCTATAAGAGCCTGTCTAATATCGAGCAAAAAACTATTACACTCATTACTCTAAAGCCAACTCTATACAATAGTGGTAAAGTCCAAAATAATCTGATGCTTTTTTGGTCCTTTGATATTACGCATTTTCTTGTAGGGTAGACTATTCTAATGGTTATTTCTGTTTGGACTTAATGTGTTCGTGTTAAGGTTGATTTTTGCGTGGTTTTATGTGTATAAAAGTGTGGTGTAGTGTTTGACAAAATGACAGAAATTTGTATGATAGCTTGCTGAGTGTTAGAGGTTATTACGTGCGTTGTTTGAGTAGAATTCCTCGGACATTCTGAGAAGATTTTACAATATATATACATTATACGTATATTTGAAGATATCTTTAGACTTGAAACACACAAATTTAATGTGTTTGTTAATGACAAAAAATCTACCGATAGGAAGATTTATTTTACATAATATTTAAACAAAAAAACCATAAATAAAAGTTATATGACTAGTTCGACTTTCTCGGACTTTCTATGTGTTTTTTTAACCGTAATTAAAATCAAATATCTTTTTCGCGGTTGACCGATTTAGTGGCCGTCGGCGATTCTAAAGGGCACCCGGTTCACGAGGGATACACAACCTTTTAAACATAACACCTTACAAATAATAAAGATGAAATATTTTATTATTTAATGTATGATTTTGACTAGACGTTGAATAAAATTTTAAAATAAAATAATATTGTAGTACTATTGAGGTTATTTAATAGATCTGTGTTTTTAAATGTTTTATTATATTGTGTCTCAATGTAGAATATTTTTTAACGTTTTGGTTATCTCGTTATGAACATTTCAGAGATTCTTCCCCCTATGGCGGTTGTCGTACTAAATTTATTAATTAATTCGTATTAACAAAAAAATAATAATGTTTGGCAACTCCTGTGTGGAATTCAAAGCTTTACACAAACGCACCAAGTATTAGCCGATTCAACTTTTTGCCGAGCCGTCCGTCTCCCGGCCATCCTGCATTTTTGCTATGACATTCTCCAGCTTCTGGTTTTGATTAGCCACGTGATGGCGTGCGTCGCTCAAACAAATTTTAACCTTATCTTGATTCATTATAGCCCATTTTTTGTTGCTGTTGTTTTATTTTTTCTAATTAACAAAAGTCTAGAGGACTTCGTTTTGTTTTTTTTTTTTTATTGCGATCCCGCCGAAAGTCAAATGGTCTCATGCACTATTGTTGGGAAGCGATTTTATGGCTGAAGCTTTTTGTTATCGGACAACGAATAAATTGTTCTATTTTACTTGTGTTTATTTTGGATATATTTGTTGTTTGTGTATCACTTCAGGTAAATTAAGACTTTTTTTTGGTAATATTCAAGTTTTTTTTTTTCGGTAACATCCAAGTCATTAAAATCATTAATTTAAATTTTCGTTGTTAATATTATTAGAATCGTATAATAAAGCTGAACAAAAACCCGGAGCGTTTTAATTGAAAATTAAATTTTATGTACCGTTAGTATAAAAATGACAATATTAAATGTATGTAAAGAATATATATAATTCAATTGTTATTAAAATCGCTATACTATATATATAAAAGAGAGTGTCAGTAATATGTTTGTTTTTTTTTTGGTGACGGTCCTATGAAATATAATACAATTTATTTTCTGGTACATACTTTAACAAATAAATAACAATAATTTATTAAGAGTCAATAATTAATATATGAGAATATATAATTTTAAAACAAATAAGTATGGATATGTGTATTAAAATTTTAATTTCTTTAAGAAAGTACATAATCATTAAGTTTCAAAAATTACTAATATGAATATTTTTGTACGTACGTAAATACATATACATATGTATGTATTAATATATGAAAAAAATTGCGTTACATGAAAGACAAGGAAGTATTGCTATGAAATCTGATATAATTACACAAAAAAAATATTTTTCTATGATATATAATGTTTTTAATATATTATTTGATCTGTCATCTGTACTCGGTTGACGAATCGTATTTTGATGAGTGTCAGGCGGCTCATTATAATTTTGCAATCGTATAACCATCTTTGTATATTATATATTAATTCTATATAATAAGGCTGGAGCTAAATGTCGCTTTAAATGTTATTCCATACGTTACAAGAATTTAAAGAAAATAAATCTTATACATTTATTTATTTTTAAGTCAAATCCCTACTAAAATTATAAATGCGAAAGTAACTCTGTATGTCTGTTACGCTTTCACGCCTAAACCACTAAACTGATTTTAATGAAATTTGGTACAGAGATAGAGTTGACCTTGAGAAAGAACATAGAATAGTTTGTATCCCAGACTTTTGAAAAGTTCTTTTGGAAACCGAACTCCACGCGGGCGAAGCTGCGGGCGGAAAGCTAGTTTATATAGTAATTTCAATTAACTTCTGATTTCTTACTATATGTTTATTTTAATATGAAAATATATGTTTTCGTAATGAATGTCTTTCTTTACCTGTTTATATATGAACTTTATATAGGTATAATTCTATCAATAAGTAAGTCAGTTTTTGATAATTATGTGTGTCCCCAGCCTTATCTGTGAACGGTTTCCGTGTGTCGGATGCTGTCTTTGGATCCAGTTTGAAACACTTTCAAGTTATCTCATAAATATTGAGCATCCTTTAAGATGAAAAACCCCTCAATACAACATACCACCGAGATTATATGGAGAGATTTCTTTGTATTTAAACCTACCATCTATATTATTATTTATAAATTGGAATTCTTTTTGTTTTTTTATATATATATTGTTTGCTTGTGATAATGTCTTGGTTACTTTCATGACGGTTTGAATTAGAAAATATATTAAGTATATATAACATATGTATGTTAAATACATATAAATACACGTTCCTTTGTTATACGTACGTTTGTCTTTTGTTTTTTGTTTATATTAACAAAGGTAATTTCATAAAAATTAGTAACGTAGTATCACAGTTCAATGAGATATTCATAATATTAATATATCACAATATATATTAAACTTGGTTCATACCTGAGGGCACATCTTGCAGTGATATTTCCTGGCGTGTGAATGAAGAGGTTGCAACTTGGTGGGACCTTTGCCGAGTGGTTGTGGTACAACCAGCAACCCACTCCCGGTATTGGTACCACCAACCGGTGATGAGGAGGAGGATCCTGGAGATATATAGGTGATGATATAAAAAAATATAGTAGAATGAATGAGTAGCATTATCATAAATAAGATGGGAAGTAGGGCAGGATTTATCAAAGAAATCATTTCGACTTTAAATGTGGTTATTTATATATTGTAAGTTATATACAGATCTATTACTTTTGTATCAGATATCAGTTAAAAATATTCAATATAATCTATATGTATCGTAGAGAAATACAAAAGATACGTAAAAGAATATATGAGTAGGATTATCACAAAAAGATGGGAAGTACGTCATGATTTAGCAAAGAGATCATTTTGTTTTAAGATATGGTTATTATAATAAATAAAAACTAAAAGTAAGACACTGTAAGATACTTTAATATACTTATATATTGGAAGTCATATACAGATATCTTTCTCTTCCATCAGATATCAGTCAAAAATATTCAATACAATTTATTAAGTGTAAGAATCTAAAAAAAGCTGATTAGTAGATAGTATGTGGAAACGAGTTGATGAATTGTGTTTACTGTATGAACTAATCAAAATGATTATGGTCATTAGTCATCAGATAGATCATGAGAGTCAGCGCAGTATTTTAGTTGAATTAGAAAATATTATATAGAAAACAGCACGAGTGGGTATGAACCTGTTACCTCCGAATTGTTACGTTTCAGTTGGTTTAAGGATTAAGATGTTGCATTCTAAACCGAGTCCATGAATATTCAATCATAATTATCTAATTTTAATCTTAGTTTAATATTGCTTTGGTGTTTAAAACATATTTGTATGATATTACGTGTATTACATTAAATCCTGTATGAAGATATATGTACGTGAATATGTACTGCAGAAGTCTGAGTTATTTTGGAGAAGTTCCTAACGAAAACTTGACAAAGCAGGTAAGTTTTTCGGATAATACTACGCATTTTTATTATTTTATATGACCATTATCTAAAAAATCGGTTCTTTTGCATCAACCGTGATCACGCAAAATTGATGAAAGTGTTTCAATTGTAGACTGTACGAATGTTAATACGATCTAGAGGTTGTATCTGTAATATATGTCAAGATAGTCATTACTGTCTTAGTTCATACCTACTGTGAGATAGTAAAGACTGTGAGGAATTGTTACTGAATAATAAGTTTACATATGTTATACTCCACAAACATCATCATCATCAGCCTATCAGAGCCCACTGCTGAGCTGCCTCTTCTCACATGGAGAAGGTTTGAGCATTAATCACCACGCTTGCTCAAGACGGGTTGGTGATTTCAAACTTATCCCTACTAATATTATAAATGCGAAAGTAGCTCTATCTGTCTGTCTGTCTGTTACGCTTTCACGCCTAAACCACTGAACTGATTTTAATAAAATTTGGTACAGAGATAGAGTTGATTTAGAGACTTTTGAAAGGTTCTCTTGGAAACGCGATATAACCGAAATCCACGCGGGCGAAGCTGCGGTCGGAAAGCTAGTTTGAAATAAGTCCAGGTTTTCTCACGATGTTTTCATTCACCCTCTGTCACTCCGTAAACATTGAGCAAATTCTCATTGAAGGCTATTAAGGTGTGTTATGGTCCATAGATACTAACCCGACCGACCTGGTCCAAGCCCGGCTCCATACAGCATCTGACTCATTGACTGGTGATGACCGAGCCTGTCATCCGTCTTCTGATGGACTGTACCATCTCCTGTGCTCATCTTGGCCTGTAACATACATACAGTTACTTAGACACGACTAGAATTCATTATAGATACCACTTTAAACAAACCAGAGCAAAATAATATTCAACATTTAAATGAAACTAATAATTTTTGGATGTATTACGCGATTTTATATGATAGATGACATCTCACATCTCGACTTTAATCACGGTTGCTGTAAAGTAACCGAAACATCGGGAGTATGTAGTTTTTATCAAAAACAAAATAGCGCAGTACATTCGAAAATATTAGCTTCATTTAAATGAATACTCGCGAAAATCTTAGATCTCATTGTAATATTCAACGCCTATCTAAATCATAATCACAAAAAGAGATTAATCTTATTAAGTAAAGTAAGTGTAACAATAAGTAATGTTAACCCTTAAATCTCGTGTCTAATAAATAAGCCACTGGTCTCCCTCCGGTCACTTTGTCAAGTACTACACGCGCATGACTTATATCTAAACGCTCCTATAAATCATATTGTTTTTGCTGTCTTTACTTAAATAGTTTGTAATTTATTAGCAATTTAATATTGTTTGTGGATGTTTCGATCGAATAATGTTTTTAACTATCGATTTTTGTTGAAAGTTTTAATATATGTATACCTAAATCATATAGCTCCTCAATTGGTTTAATTGTTTAAGAAAATATGTAGAATTGACAATTAATTATTATTGAATATTCTTCTCAATTATAGGTCATAATCTATACTAAATTATCTTGATAGATTTTTTTATACAGTTTCTACAATTATAAGTATAACTTACTTTATAAGTGACTAAACAATAACTAAATGATAACAGTACAACACATACACAAAGGCTTCATAGGCAAATGAAGTCGAACAAAGGCTTGTCAAAGGGCAGTCCTCTGGTAATACATTAAGGAACAGTCTCAATTAAGTGTGGCCAGGCGCCAAATCGAGTGTTAATAATGAAACTTACTTGATGTGAATTATTGAACACGAACTATTATATTTGATTATTAGGATGGGAATATCTATTTTGTAATTATACTGCTTCTAAGTAAGCTTAAATTTAGTGTGTTTGTTTTTTTGTCATGATAAATCTATTTCAAGAAACTAATAGATGAACTAGTCTATATATTTTTAGAATTTTTCATTTAATTCAGTAGGTTTTTACATTATTATGTAATAGAAATATGAATGAATCATGTTTCTTACTTATTTTTCTAGCATTCTAAATGTTGTATAAACCATTACAATATGCTTGTAGAGATAAAATAAATATAAACATAACAAAACCCTGTATTTTTATATAAAACGTATAATATTTAATGCATTGTTATATGTAATATATAATGTTATAAGTAAACAAACAATAAATCAGGAAACTATTCGGGTTTCAATGGGATATTACAAATTAATTTCAAAGATACCGTCCCACACGGGACGCGAAATTAAATGTAAGTGATCACATCCGCAGTTTACGGTTAAATTATACCATGTAACCGTTAGTTCAAAATGAACCGAACTTGACCGGTTACACCGATTAATAATGTAAAAGAATATGCCTTTTATATTTATGTATAACTAAGTCTCCCGTGTGTATGATCGAGCAATAATATTTTACGACTCAATATAAATGCGTATAAAAATGTTCGCACATTTATTATTTTCATCGTTCGCAATAAACTGAAAGCTCCGAAACTTCATGGACTTTATAGTTTAAATTACTTCCAACTATGGTATAGATCGCTATATTCAAGGAAAAATACTTTTACAGAGTGTCGTAAAAAGAAAAATAACTTGCGTCAACCTCCGGATTCCTTGCGAGATTCTTTAGCACAGCGCCATCTATCGCCGTTAATGGCGAGTTTTGACGTGAACTACCCTCGGTAACAAACAGTTATGTTTTGCAGACCAATAACTACGATTTAGGTTTATGTAGTGAACTTTTAAATATATCGCATTATTAATATATATTGTTTTTGTGTGCGTATTATGTCGAGTAAGTTCTAAGTACACGTTATAGGCGTTGCATTCCTGATGATAAGTAATGCTGATAAACAAAAATGTCAAAAATCTTCCAGATGGGGCGGGCTTCTGTTGAGGACAGTTGCAAATGAGTGTTCTTTGTCATCTGACCCCACGTCATAAGTCCCCTGAGAACCGCTGACTTTTGAGATTTCATATTAGATTGTTTAATTGATGTTTTCAAATGTTTCTGTACTAGATATAAAGAAAATTCAGTTACGAATAATATGAAGGCGTCACGCGATAAAAACTGAATGATGTTTCCTATGTATGAACCATTTGTTCTATAAACAATGTTTTCTTCAAATGCAAATTGCGGAGGCTGTTTAAAGAAAATATATTTACCTTATATTTTGTTTAGTTAACATAAATTTAAGCCGTTTGTAATAAATATGAAGAAAAAATTCAAATACAATTTTTGTATATGTTTCTTTTATGAGTCCAAGATTGATAACTTTGATTGATCATAGAAGAAAATAATTTTACATATATTAAACTAAAATATTACTAGTGTGTGTAATAAATATGTTCAGTTTATATACTGAAGTTCACAATTAATGCTAGTCCTAGTTAAACCACAACTTATGTAACTCTAGTATTGAATAAATATTGATACAATTAATTAACTCACTATAACAAAAAAAAAACTATTGTCTAAAAAATTAAATTCTTATCTTACGCTTTCATACAAAAAAATGAGGTACTTAAAAATTTAAAAAACTCAATATAAACATTTGTATGAAATCTAATATTCAAAGTGTCCGCTACGTAACGCTACATGCAACATTACAATGCCACGTTTGCAATTTTCAATGCCATCACAATATGTACACTAGAGTCTACAGCATGCAAGATGGCCACCACATCAATTCTCACCTCGTAGCCCTGTTTGATGGCCATAGCGCCACGTGGGCGCGACCACGCTCCATAATCCAGATCTTTTTGTTGGCAATGCTGTGACAAGAAAAATATTATGACATTACATAATAATACCCATCGTGTATAACCACAGGATATTACGTCTTCATGTTTCAGCCGTTCATACTATTTCAAAAGTTTTTAATCATATCGAAACTGCGATTTTTATAAACAAGGTAACAACTCAATCTATACAAGTATAATCCAAAGTCTACACAATAGCAATATTTCTCCATTATTAAAGATTTCTAATACCACTACGTTATAGCTATTACATATATATGGGAAAAGCGATTTTATATCCATGACCCGGCTAACATATAAAATGTTAGCCCTAAACGTTTTCCGTTCCTTTCCATCCCGCTGGGTGTGAGAGGGACGCAGCATCACGTGTGACGCACATCTGAAGACGTGTGTGTTAGTGAGACGCGAAGGAAACGAGGGTAGTGGAGATGATGGAAATTTTATTATTATTGAAATATTATATTGAAATAAATTCATTTAGTCACTATGTTGCGGGGGTTTGTATAGTTTTGTTGAAGGTTTTATATAACTTTGCTTTAAATTAATTTCTGCATATACTTTTATGTACAAATATTTTAATTGCTCCTGAATGAAACGTATCTAAGGATATTATTACACTTATATAATATATTTTTTATGAATATAATAAAAATGAAATAATAAACATTCAATAACGACTCCATTCCATCCATGTTCCGAAGAAAAACCCGCGACACGAGTATTTTTCTTAAGTTATCCATGTGTGAGTTTTAGATGTGTTTTGTATGTGTGTGTGTGGGTAGTAAAATATTATGCTGTCGGGTCTTGAAATAACATTGTATAGATAATCAATAACAGAGCCTTTTTATGTTAGATACAGCCTTTGGGGCAGGTTAGGTATGAACTTGACTAGCAACCGGAATAACTGTTTAAACTCATACTAATTGTATTAAGAGAACGAAATCTTTAGCAATTCTTGAGAATTATATAATGAAAAGTTTCTATAGTATAATAATAAAAAAACTTTTTTTTTTAAATAATAGTAATATTACCTAAATCACACCAATTAATTATTTTTAAACTATTACAGTTTGTATGAAAAAATCTTGTATTAGATTAAATATGGTATAGAGAGGAAAACTTTTGTAAAATATAAAGCGATGATTAAATGTCCCGGGACATTCTGAGTCGATTTGGGACGAGCCATCATTTGTCACCGCTAACTGATCATCTATACGACTGATAAGACACGCTATACTAGACACATCCCCCGACTCCTGCTGACTTTATGTGTCCAGATAGTAATAATATATGAAATTCACGCTTAAAAATAATATATTTTAGGTTGAAATTTCATTAAAATCTGTCCATTTATTTTGCTGTGATTACTTAGTACCATTAAAATCGATACGTTTTTTCATAGATGGTTATATCTTCTTCTACGTGGCAATTACCCAGCTATAGCCAGGGTCTGCCTTACATGTCGTGAATAGTTTTGGCTAATTGTTTTTTACGACCGGCCGCCTGCTTGACATCAACCCTATTTTTGGGAATCAGCATGAATCAAAGATGTCTAAATATTCTTAGAAGGTACGTAATATGACTCGGAAAAATCACATTGGTACTTGTCCGGGCCAGGATCGAACCCGCACCCTCGGCAACGAGAGGCGGGCCTTTTAACCACTAGGCCACCATTGACTATATATATTTATATAACAGTATATTCTGTTTCCGCATTAAAGAGTGATTGATCTAACTTAAGCTGCTAACTTTATACATTAAACTATATTTTTCAAATCAATGTTATATTTTAATTATTATTATTTCTTTAAACATATCTTTCATATATAATACGGTATGGAAAATAATACGAAAAACCTTCCTAATGTCTAAAGATACTTCAATGTATATATGTGTGTGCAAAATTTAATTCATTAGTTTTTGCACACACATATATTCCAATCTATAATATTAATACATGATCGATTGTCGTCAATACAAACGGCGCGGTGTCTTGGGTAGTCTGATATTATAATTGATTTGTATTATTATTTAATTAAATATTTTATATCACATATTTTTAATAATTATTTATATATGAAATTTATAACGAATAATTATTTCTATATATTTTGATGTTTATTCAATTTGTATATCTTTTGTTCTAATTATTTCGTGTATATGGGGATATTTATTAATAATATTTTATATCAAACTTAAGAAATCATATATGTATGTATAGTCGTGTTAAAAATTTTAACATCTGAAATACGTATATGTACGTTAGACTGGAATCATGAAATTATATCTTGTTAATTCATGATATTTATTTTAATAAAGAAAAAAATTAAATATTAAATATTACATGTACATTTATTTATTAAAATTATTTTTTAATATTCAAATATAACTTATTCGTCACTTGACAGAGATCTTTTAAAGATTCCTCTATTGGGGATAAAAGATTTCATTTCAATTTGAAAGCTAAGAAACTTATTTTTATATAAACTAAATTGTATATTATATTAATAGTAATGTATGAAATGTACATAATATATAACATTGATAAGTTTATTAGAATAATTAATCTAATTAATTTTAAATAGACGATAGTTACGAACTTCACATCAAAAGTACTGGACACAAAGAGTCTTGTTTAAAAAAAAATTATTATACTATTTTCATTTAACATATAATTATTATGTTTAAATGAATCTTATAGTTTTCGGACATACTACGAGTGCTATATTCGAAAAATATTAGTTTCATTTAAATTAATAAAACTCGCGAAAGTCTTAGAATGATTTATAAGCTTCAAGCATTTAGTCATGTCTATTTTTTTGTAAGAACAAAATTTTGGATATTATATGAAATAATACGAACGAAGATTCGTATCACATAGTATATAATATAAAGATATTTTTATCTATACATGATTAGTTTAAATATATAAGTGTATTGCATCAAAGATATAATTTAAAAAATAGGAAGAATTCGCTCGTACGATTATAAGTAGTCGCAACGAGACCTAATATAATTGTTTGAAATCAAATGTAAGAAAAATATCGTTATCAAAATAGACCTTACGATAATTTGGAATGTAGGATAAGATTCGCACTACTTGTAATATAATAATGTTTGTTCTTTAATTATAATAAAAAAACAATTTCAAAATATATATTCATATATTTATATAAACTTTTAACGATTTCTAGCTATTAATATTTTTTTAAGTAATATTATTCGGATTACTAAGTTTATTTTATTATTTTAACTACATACTCCCGACGTTTCGATTACTTTGCAGCAACCGTGATCACGGACAGACGAGATGAAAAAAATCATAATAATAAAACAACGCGTATTTAGTAATCTGAAAATATAAGTTACATTTAAATAAATACTTACTAATTTATAGATTTAATTAAATAATTAAGAGGAAATAGTAAAAAATAAACAAAAATAAGATATCAATATCTAAAATAAGCAATTCTATTCCACAGTAACAAATTACTGTGATGACTCGTCAGCCGGCTCTCTAAGATGGATGGCGTGGGTGTGGCGATGTGGCGTTTCGTTGAATTTGCCTTTATTTATCTTTATTTTTCTTTATTTATCTTTATTTCTTTGCTATAATATTATAGTTTATGGCTATGAATATAAATTTTAATTTATTTTACATATATTAAATGTGATTATTATTAAGCGAATCATTAATTCGTTACGCCACAGATAGTGTGATATAAATATAATATTATGCCTTTCAGGGTTTTATGATACTCAATGTTTCTGAAGCATTAAAATGCTTGAGTTTTTTTAAGTTTTGGTAAACAAATCTATTATTACGTATCAATAGTTTTTATCACATGATACTAGACGTTATTTTCCATGAAAACGTCGTTAATTTTGAGTAGATTAAGTTAACCATCACAGGTTCTTAATTGAAGTCAGTAACCTTAGTACGACATTTTTCCTCAATCAAAACTGTTAGAATTACGTACGCAATACCTACCTTTGTAGTATCTTACTAATACATAAGTATAAGTACGTTTCATTGAAAAAATATTTATATAATTTAAAATTTTATATACATATATATAAGAAGTACCTATACATAGGTTTTTCTTTTTCATTTTTTAAATTTATGAATAACGATTAATTTCTAAAAACTTCATTACACAATTAAAGGTTAAAATAAAACATTGCCAAATTATACATATTAATCTCAAGATATAGATTTAAGTGTATTAAAACTATCAACTAAAAGAAAATTTTACCGTAGATATGATTTAAGACTTAAAGAATAGTCAGGAAATTCATAGTTATCATCAAAAGATATAAAAGATAAGTATGAGTAGTAGTATGAGTAGTAGTAGTATTGTTTAAGTCTTATAAGCTTATCACCAGAAGTTCTAACCCTTGACTGTTCAAGTATATACTAACAATAGATTAAAATGCGTCTTAACTTTTTTTTATAGTTTTTTAATAACGAAATCCAACAAAGACGATGACAAATAGACATGTAGCGGTTACCATACATGTATGAGAAACGAATATAGTAGCTCGACTGGGAAGTTTTGATACTTGTTAATAATATGAAGAAATAATGAGGTAAAAATACATATGATTATGATTAGAGGTGATAAAGAATTATAAAGAAAATAACTAGTTCATGCCCGCGATTTTGTTCTTAGTGTGTGATATGAAAATATCATGTGTGCTTGAAAAACATAAGCACTTTGATTATTGCATAATGAAATAGACATAGGGCAATTTTATTTGTATGGTTCAAGTATGTAAGAAATAAAATTTATACAGTAGTTTAAAAAATATAAGCTATCAATTTTTATATATAAATATATCAAAACCACTACATCTGTCTATAAGTAAGTGGTATAACTATTTACCCCTGGTCCGCTCACCCCCTTCCAAATACCGAAGGATTTACGTTCCCAATAATAACTATCACTGCATTATTGTGACATCATAATATTGTATCGACACTTTATTTATTGTATTTTATCAATGTAATTTTTTATAATTATCAACTAACCTTTTTATTTATTGTTCTCTTTTTTTAACATTATCTGTACACAGTTTGACATAAAAAAATAAAGGACTCAATAAATACTTTTTTAACGATTGTAAAATTTAAATTTGGAATTGAATCTGAAGATTTGCTTCTCGAGTTTGGTGATTCTGAAACTTGGTGTATACAATATATAAATTATAGTTGGAGAATATAAGAGAAGAATACTATTCCCAGAGTTGCCATCTGAATCAAACTAGAAGCCATAGCTTTTACTGTTCAAATCCCCGGGAGAAGAAACTCTGTCTGAACAGTAAAGGTGACTTTTTATATGAGGCCTGGGAAATGTTGGACAGACGGACATCTTGTCTATAAGACCTACTTTTATATATATATAGTTCTATTTTTAAATTTTTATACTCCTTAAAAAGGTTTTACTGTTGGTGTTATTTTAAATTAAGAATATCACAGCCTATAATACAGATGTAAGATTTTATATGAAAATAATTTTTCTTAGGTTTTGTATTAAGAACTGTTTATATATATTTTTAAATTTTCGATATTTTTTTCTAATAATTATATATAATTTAAAAATGAAGTAAAATATACGAATTAAAAGATTTAAAATGAAGTCATTGCAACATTTATACGACTCATTCAAATCAACAGTTGTCACATTTCCTTGGAAAAAACACATTCACTATTCATTGATATAAATGAAAGAAAATTGAATTGAATGAATCGAACCGAATAAATGTAACAATAACAAAACGTATTATCGTTTACAATAAACAAGGAAATTATCCGAACGCTAGGGTGTTCACGATTAATCCGCCAAATTAGACATGTCCCGGCTAAAATCGATTAGGGGCCGAAACTCACGGGCAATTCGCAACGACTCCGAGTCCCGGCAAGATAAACATGCCAAGCTTTTTTTTTTCGTTACAGCAAAGACATTAACCAAGGATGCGTTTAGGGTGACCATCGTGTTCGGATCGCGGGACATTAATTATAGATAATTATCTCCTCTCGATGGACTAATCGAGCTAAATTATATAAACAAAAAACTTAACAGCTTCAAATACAATAGATATATAATTGAATGCAATTATATCTGACCACGAGCTATTTATGAATATTTATAAACTAATTAATAATTTAGGTCCAGCTAGCTGTGATTACATAATTTGTATGTCATTTTTATAATGGATTTTATTTAATATTTTAAGTAGCTTATCATGTTCTTGAGTCTAGTCTCGTCTTGTTTGGTCCTCATGGCCACCCTACTCTGGATGTCATTAGACCGCGAGAGGGGGTCATTACTGCGATGAGTAGACCGTCCATTAATCTTCCTGGACCGGTCTCTCGCCTGTCAAAATTGTGGCCACCGTCCTCCATAGATATGTTATAGTAACCATTGTTACTAATTCGGCTCTCGTTTCACGAGAATAGAGATCGCACTAATATTATTAATATTAATATCACTAATGACTGCTGTGTCTGATTAGTTGGGCTAGCGTTTTCTATTTCAATTGTTTTTATATTTATTTGTAATTAGCCTTATTGTTATCATATTTAAGAATATAATGTATTATTTTTTCGTTTACAAACTACTCAATGTATTAATATAATATACATATGTATAACCCGATGTAAGGTTTACTTCTATAGTCAAAAGCTTAGTGAAATATTAATTTTTAACTGTAACCTAGTATCTATTGTATTAAATGAGATTAATATATTGAATGTACCGCTAAAGGCGATGCTTACGGTCATAAAAAACTCAGCTAGGCGTGAGTATTCAAAATAACTGTACACCTGGATTGAATGTTGTAATTAGTGAAGAAGATAACACTGTGTCTAATCAAGCGTTACACAGACAATACAAGCACCCTTTTACCTCATACATTGCTCGTTCATATCATAATATAATTTATCAGTCAGTAACGAAACACGCAATGTATATCAATTAGGGTGATATCCTACAATTGACTGTAATAAATGATTTGGTAATACGTCTTTATAGATAACTGAATAATTCAATTTGACGTACAGTAATTAAGACGTTGCAGATTTGACAGTCGGTTAAATGGCTTTGTTGGTTTAAAAGAGATTTTATACGGTTCAATGATATGATGTTTCACTGTGAGAAAAATTATTTTGTATGGAAGGATTAATGAATTAAATACAATTAAAAAATATATATATATATATATATATATATATATATATATATATATATAGTTATATATAGTTGTGTTAGTTACACTATATGTAAAGAACAGCTGTAGGGGTATGGTTGAAAATTGGTGGAGAGATAGCTTAGAACAAGGAGACGGACATAGGATATTTAATTCTGTTCGATCGAAAAAAGAAATTACTTAATAAATTTAAATTTCTGATTATTTACAGCCGTTAAGGTGGTATAGAGTACAACGGTACATACATATATTACTAATGCCGAAATTAACGTGAACAAAGTCGCGGACAAAAACTAGTAGATTAATAAGTAGAATAACGATATTTTCGATTTTAATTTTATATATAAAAAATATATATAATCAACAATATGTTTGAAGATAGCTTTCTATGTGTTTTTTGTGCGACCCTTTGGTAAGTTTTTTTTTTCATTATCGCGAAGCAGTCATCAAAACATCGTTAACACGACCCAGAACAATGTACATATTGGCAATTTTTTTCTCGTAACTCAAAAAGTCTCTTATATTTTTATTGTATTTTGATGAATCAATGCGGTATTGTATTATATATTTTTTTATTAATATTTCATTATGTGTGAAAATATCTTCTATTGTAAGATTGTGACATTCCTATGATATATGTACTATGGGACTTTTTTGGTGTCTTAATTTTTTTTAATCTACTTGCTATTTGATTTAAATGAAAAGGAGTTACATTTTTTTATTTAATCAACACATTTTTTTAGTCGTACGAAATGTTGAATGTATGAGAAATAAATAATCATAAGGTGGAATTTAAATTATTATATTACTAGTATTTGCCAGCGACTTCGTCCGCGTTAATAACGCAATTAGTTTAGAGGCCAAAACTAACCAGATGTTTTGGGAAATTATTAATTAAATATCCTATGTTCGTCTCGTTGTTCTAATCTATCTCTCCACCAATTTCCAACTATATCCCTACAGCCGTTCTTGAGTTATATATATTGTAACTAACACAACTTTCTTTCATATATATAGATGATATATATGTAGATGGAAGTTAGGACGAAAGTATGTCTAGATCGATATATATATATATATATATATATATATATATACAAGTCAACTCTCTCACTGATAACAGTATAGCGTGGAGGCATGCACTTTCCTATTAATCGCGTGTACTGATAACGTGTTGGCTGTTGTTTATATTAGTATGTATGTGTCACTCATATCTCAAAAACTTGTTTTAATAGACGTTCATACATGTACGTGTGATAAAGGTGCGTGGAATTAAAAAAATAAGTGAAAAGAAGAATAATGGAAAATTATTTTAATTGTATACAAATAAATTAAATTTAAAAAAATATTCTATTAATACTTACAATACGGGTAGGATAAAATATTTAAAAGAAAAATAAGAACATACAAAAATAATTATATTTTTGTTGTATACTAATGTGTGAAAAAAAAATATTTTTTTGTTTTTCCACCGAATACTCAAGTGTAAACCTAATTAATTATAAATGTAGATATTAAAATTCAAAAGTATTATTTTTATTTATTTTTTAAATAATATTGTAATTCGTCAGTGTAAACGCTGCCTTAACGGGCGTGGAGATTTTAAAAACTCTTACAAGATTAGAAATTACTTAAAAATATAAATGTTAATATATGAAAATTTATTGTGATAGCATTTCCTCGCATGTCTGTCAACTTTTCCTTATTTTAATAATAACAATATTTCTCACGATATCTTTATATGACAAAGTGTGTATGTGTTAGTGTTACAAATGATCTGCAGAATTATATTTAAACTCTGTCATATGCAAAACTAGTACATGAGAACAATATTAAACAGTTTTAACCGACCTCGCGATATATTGCCAATAATTAATCAAAGTCTCCAGCACTATGTGATTGTCGAAAATCTGATCTAATGTGTATCTATTAGAGTTTAAAATGTAAATTATCTATCATAGATTTATCAAAGGAAAATAATCCTTATATGTATATAGATAAAGTGTAAGTTTTATATCAATAATAGGGCTGTCCACAGAATTTGCATACATTTGCAGGCGCCGCGGGCGTCGGTACTATTGTATCGAGTGCTCTAAGAATGTCAGTATAATGATCCCATTCAGTGGCAACCCTTATTTCTTTGTCAAAATTATAAAGAAATGTGGTAATGATGCGTTCAGAATCGCTAAACAGGTTTTGTCTACTCTGTATACAGAGCACATCATCCATTTTCTTATTACAAATGATCTAGTTAGGGTCGGCGGTATGCAAATCTGTGAGAAAAAAATATGTGGGTAACGTTTTTTATTAAGCCTTATTAATTATCTTTCGCTGTATGAATTTGAGTTCGAGTTCCCATAGTAGCTTTGGGATTGTATAGGAAAGAAATGTGGCAGTACTTTACGGATAGAAATTAATAAAAAGTAACGTATTTCTGCCCGTTATTTTGTATGACAATATACTAGCCTTCCGCCCGCAGCTTCGCCCGCGTGGAGTTCGGCTATATCGCGGTACCAAGAGAACCTTTCAAAAGTCTGGGATAAAAACTATCTTATGTTCTTTCTCAAGGTCAACTCTATCTCTGTACCAAATTTCATTAAAATCAGTTCAGTGGTTTAGGCATGAAAGCGACAGACAGACAGAGTTACTTTCGCATTTATAATATAATGTAAGGACATATGACATGTACTTTTTTAGTTCTTTTACTTGAAAACTCGTAATATTTTATCTTCATAATTTAACCTTCTGGTCTTACGAGTTCAAAACAATTGTGTTTTTTTTCTCAAGCATTTTTTTCGGTAAAATTGTTGTGTATGTGAAAAAATAATATGAAATAATTTTAATCGAAGCCAATAATCATACATTTTATATCATTGTACGCGTGTTTAAATTGTTGATTAAAACTTAATGTTTTTTGTTACCATATCTCACTGTACTATATGTTATTTCGATTTAAGAGTTGCTTATTAATTGAAGAGTGGTAAAAAACATATATACATGTATGTGTATAGATGTATATGTGTGTATATATCTATGTGTGTATTTATTTATCAATATAATACAATTTTAAGGCAAAAAATGTACCTAACATGATCACCGGAATGTCGTAATTCTATAGAGGAAATTACATCAAACGAATTCAGTTTAAAGTATCTTTAATTTAATGAAAATAACTATTTTAATGAGACTATTTTCATTTAATTTGGTACAGTACTTCAAGATAAAGGGTAGAGAAATTATTAACGTCAAGACTATGTATGTATTGTATTATATTATTTATATATATTTTTACGTCAAAGTCCTTTATTATTGTTTTACTGTTTAATTTATTTTTTGATAGGTAGCAAGTTGGTTGTGTGAATTTTCTTAGTAATTAGATTTGTACAACAATACTTACATATACAAATATTTAACTATAAAAAATACACTCATACTCTGTTCAATATCAAGTTTCATACAAAATTTTTAAACGAAAATTACAAGTAAATCATAATATTTTATGCTAGTTTTTGCCCTCGACTTCGTCCGCGTTAGTTTGGTCAAGAGTAATATATGTACATAGGTATAGCTGACCAGGCGAACTCTATTCCGTCTTAGAGGCCATAAATAATCAGGTTTTTCCTGTATCAATCAAACAGAATGATTAACATATTAGTTAGTTGTAAAATCTAATGTCAAAGAAAACGTTTGTATGGGAAATAGAAAAGGGCTGTTTTTATGATTTTCCCAGTAATGATTCAATTTTTTTCAGCTTTTATACCTTCCTTGAACCTCCACGAACATTTCAAGACTAAGATAAGATAAATCCGTTCAGCTGTTCTCGAGTTTTAGCGAGACTAAGGAACAGCAATCCATTTTTATATATATAGAAGAAGAAGATATAGAAGATGTAAGCCTTAACATATATATGTATATTTATTACCGCTATACATAACTAAAAATAGCTTCAACTGAAAGTAATTTAAATTATAATAACATATACATATATAAGTGAATAACGTGTCATCACAAAAATAAAGCAATTTTGATTATAATTCATTTGAATTTATAGTTCTATATAAATGAGTGCTTTTTTCCACAGATCTTAATAACAATGAGGTTTAGTTGGTTGAATTTTGATATGAAAAATAATACTTAAATCTCTTCTCTTCTATCTCTTTCTTTTATTATAAACATAATTCTCTATCTCCCTGTAATTCCACTTTTGTCTTAATAAGCTTAATATTTATATATAGTAACTTTCACCCGTCTTTGTCACATCGTAAGCAAGGTAATTACTTTGGTAGTTCTAATTTTAACCTTAACACGTATGAATTAGTACTTATATTTAAGTGAAGCCCAAATTCATATTGAATATCCCTATACATATAAGCGAATTGTAATATATACTTCTTAAAGAAATGTATGAAATATAGAAATATGTACTGTTTATGTTTGATTTTTATCAAATAATACGATATTACGAACAGCTTACTATAATTTCGTAAGAATGGCTTCATACAGAAAGCTTATAATATATTCTTATAAGCATTTTTTTAAGTAATAGGCTTATATTTTGTACGTAGCTAGTGTAAATATTAATAACATGAACTGGTCATCCTCATTAGAAGATATTGAGGAGACTCTTGTCGCTTGTGGTACCTAGGTGTCAAAAATATGGTGAGATGTGGTACTTACATCGACACTGCCATTGTTCCATGGTGGTAGCGCATAATGTGAGTCGTGGTGACCACCACCCATGTGCTCAGCCATCACAGACATCCAGTGAACTAGACCCTGCGCCCCGCCGCCGCCTGACGTACCTAGGGGTCAATTAGTTTTGGTTTGTGGTCACTTGAATAGTGATTAAATGATTTGACACTCAGAGAATAAGTCTTACTGGAATATTATATGTACGAGTATATAGAATTTTGAAACTAATAATCGTTTTGTATTTTAATAGTACATGTATAAGGTCTACCTCTCAAGATACACGATGTTTTAGTCCTATTGTTATGTCCTTGTAATATTTAATAAAGAAAAGATTTATATAAAAACCATCTCACGAAGACCTTCAAAATAATTTACCGCTCATAAATTCAAAATAAAGTTACTCAATAGTATGTAGTTATTCCTAAATCTGCTAAGTACACTAGGCGCATCAAGTCATATGTTATTTTATATCCACTAACCAGTAGGCACGGCGGCGGGCTGCGGCGCTGGCTGTTCCTGGCCCCCTCCTCCCGTCACCCCCCCACCACTCCACACGAACGCTGATGAAGCTCCAGCCTTCTGGAACAAGAGCCCGTGATGAAGGATCTCACAATGGTATTAGCAAGAGAAGAACAGAAGAGAAGAATAGAAGACTTGTGCTGTCTTCTTGGGAGTAGAAATTCTTACGAATCTGGATTCATTGAATGGTGTAAAGCACTGCAAATAACTGTCACGACTGGGAATCGATCAGTAAACGCTATATGTGACGAGAGTCTATTTTAATATACATTCACGAGCTCTAGCCTTCTGTTGTTTCTTACTAGATATTTCTAATAGGAATCAGATAAGAATTTTATAAGTTTCATTCATATAACGATATTTAAGATTTTTGAATATTAATTTAAATGTATTACTTATCATTTGGCTGTAATCACAGTTACTGTAAAAGAACGTAGTGATAATGTAGCTATAAAATTACAAAAAAACTCGTAGTATCCGAATAAGTTAATTTGATTTAATTATTAATTAATTAATATAATAAACTGTATCTCGCCATCTAATAATATTATCTGAAAATATATAAATATATATTTTTAATTATGAAACATGATGTAAGAAACTCCCCGTGTGTTTATAATTTTTCAAGTTAAATAGCTATAACGTTATATAAATACAGTTAATTAAACTATATACAACACTATTATATATAATATTTGCTAATGTAACAGCCAATTAATGTTATTAGAAGCCATTAACACTTGTTCTCGAATCAATATGATAATTCGTTATTGTATAACTTATAATCGAGTTGAGTAACTATCATGATAAGTTTTTTTTCATTATTGTTACCTCATCAGGTGAATTTGTGATTCTATCAGCATTTTCATCATCAGGTAAATCAGTTTCAAGGCCTAATGTGTTACTGAATAACATATTTCTTGAGTACAGCGAGTAACAATCAGTGATATTTCTTCTTCTCTTGCCGAGGGTAGCCAGAAAACTTTTATATAACTGGGACGGTAATAGAAAAGGTGATCTGGTGTTTTGAAAGCCATCTTTAAAAGCGAGGTTCTGGTTTCTAAATGGATTCGTGAAATCGAATTCTGGTAGGAATTCTTTTTTAATGAAGTCCGCCATTGGTTGTGATAGCGTATTCTCTGTATAATCTAAAGCTGAATTAGCTTCGTCATTAGGATTGTTTTCAACGTCACTCGCCTCAGAGTTACCGTCGCTGAAGGACGCATCGTTATCATCCTTCTTATCAGTGTAATCCTCAAATTCACGTTTAATTGGAAAATTCATTTGTTTCTTCATAAAAACGTTAGGACTGGTCAGCGTTACGGACATTATTGGCACTATATACACTTATACAAATATATATCTCCACATAAACTTACACTAGAGTCTATAATAAAAAATAAAAATATTTTTTCTTTTTTTTTTTTGTTATTTATTTAAAATTATTTAGGTATTTTTAGGAACTATCGTTGGGTTGGGAGGCTGGGCCGCTGTAACAAAATTATAATTGATTTCTCAAACTATTTTTTATTATTTACTATAAAATTAACGTAATATTTAAAGATTTTTATTGGAGGTGTTTATTAATCTTCACCCGTTTCGTGCGTACCAAGTTAATTCGCATTACTTTTACTCACAACACTAAAGTAAAGATTCTAATGAGATTTCCCATACAACTATAAATTATATATATTTGTGTATCAGTTTACTACGGGAAAATACCCCATGATGTAAGCCATAGATACTATATATATGTATTTCTATAGCTTCCAAAGACGTGAAAAGTTAGCGATAGTATTTTATGTCCTAAAATAAATGGCAGTAAAATTAAAATCGATTCCAGTGTATTCGTGTAACTGGGTCGACGTTTCAGAACGCTCATATTTTTAACATTGAAATATATAAAGAGTTCACGAAAAACATATTAAATATATTAGCATGATATATTTATTAAAATTAACATAAATATATCTTAAAAGATATATCTTTTTTATCTTTAATGCAAGTGAATGAGTCCTTTTAAAATTTATAAAACCTTTTTGTGTTCTAAGAAAATTTTCTTTATGACGTTAGCATTCATATCACTATTTAACTTTATAACTGCGAATGAAACTGTACCTTATAACGATGGACATAAAGTATACAATGTAATGAAGCTCGGTATAAAGGAGTTGGAAAATTTGATATATGATATTATAATAAAATGAATAACTGTTTTAATATAGATGAAATTTATACATATAGTTTAAAATGGCTTGTACTGTTTTAAATTCTTTTTTTGAATAGTTTTAAAGAACATAATTTGAAAATTTAAATTTAGAATAAAAAATATATTATAATTTATTGGTAACATTACACTGTATTTTGCAACCAACCATATAAAGTCTCTGAGATAGTATACAAAGGAAGATTCGATTCATTTTAATATTCGTCACTAAATAAAAATAAAATGAAGTTAGATTGGACGTATAATATTTTCATCAATAAATCTATTAAGAGATAATAATAATATAATATAATATTAACAAAGGGACGCATGTATTGGACGTTATCAAACAACACGCCAACATTCGATTAACGCAATCTAACAAGATCACACACACACACACACAGGCGCACTCATTAACAAACACATTTACATCACTGATACAAGCGACACGTGTCTCCAAGGAGGTTTGTTAAAACTTTTAATCTACAACTAATTATTTCTTCACGGTCTGTCCTCCTTTTGGCGCGAATCACAGTATTCTAATTCGTTTTTTAATTTCAAAATTCGAACGCGTTTTTTATACGCCGCGAAACGGGTGAAGAACTTTTCAATAACAAACGGCCGTGGCCGATCGATTGACTATTTTAAAGTGACATTTCTGAAGCGTTTCTCCAAAAAAAAAGAACGTTATTATCATTAAAATGTTTTTGCTTGAAATTTTTTAGAGATCGTCTAGATGTCTTTACCGCGAGGTATTCGCTATGAAACTCTTCCCGAGAGGTTGCTGCAAGGAAAAGCATTTCAACAACACATGGAAGGTTTTCTTGGAGCGCGCGTGTGTGAGAGGCTCGTACAGCGTCATACGTGTCTGTGTGTCCAGACTTGAGACGCGCTGTGTCTGTGTGCGTGCGCTGCCTCTGTGTGTGTATTTTATGACTCTGAGTGCATCCCTTTCGAACTGCATGCAATTTATATGTGTGTGCATTATTTTTTTTCTAAACGGCGCGGTTCCGTGTGTACGCGGACCAAATTCTTGGTATGGGTGTACTGTTTTTTTGAGCTAACACAGGCCATTTTTTATTCTAACCCGTAGCATTACGGTCGTTATTGGTTTGAATAAATTAAATGTATTTTTCAGTTTTATATCGCCGATATGAGAATCGCGGATAGAAAAGAAAATGTAAGAGGAATAAAAAAATGCATGTATCGTACGTTTTCAGGTAGACACATTTTTCTTTAACCCATTTATAGAGGTTGTTGTGTGTGTGTGTGTGTGTGTGTGAGCTTGCATCGGGGGATGGGGGAGTCTTAAAAGGGTTGTGGAGGGAGGGGGGGGTGAACATATAAAAATGATAACGCATCGCAAGACGGCTGCTTTTATGGTTTTTCTTTATTTTTTAAAGGTTTTTTATTATTGAAGCAAAGAGTAATACGTCCGTTGAAAATGTATTTTCAGCTGTCTGGTAATATAAAACATTTTTAGTACCTCACCAAGTTTTAAACGCGCTAACTTCGGGATCAAGGACCTCTAAAAATAGAGGAGGCGACATTACATAGGTACCTGTGTTAGTTGAATAGTTATTTTTAATTTGCATGTCCGTTTACGCAAATAGAACTCCTTTGTAGTTCTAAATCTAAACTCAAGCGGAAAAATATTCACTCATATAAACATAAAAAGACTATAATTCTAATTAAAAGTAATTTTAAGCAGAAAATCACTACCAAATGTATGACGTCACACAATTCATGTTAAAAATATATATATATATATATATATATATATATAATAAAAAATTCAATGATACAATAAATCATATTGAATATGCCGCATTAATTATATAAAGTGTGAACACAACGTACACAGACAGACAAGTTGTCACAGCACTTCTGTTGCCAGACAATGTATTGCGACCTAAAAAATATATCGCTGACTGGATAGTGTGTAACAAGCTTAATGTGGATAGATTAATAGTATTATAAATGTGGTTAGATATAGATTGTAGATAAACTTTGGTTTTGGTAAAGTTTTTGTTCTAGATTGCTAGGTTATAATTATAGATAGGTTTAAGGGTTATTTTGGGTTTTAGATGTAATGGTTCTAGTTATTAATTAATGAGATAGTTTAAATTTGAATGCAATTGATCTATTTATGAAAATTATTTTTGTTTTATTTTATAACTAGCTGCGCCCCGTGTTACCCGCGGATTTCCGGAATTTCCGGGTTGTAAAGTAGCCTATGTGTTATTCCTGGACGTCAGCTTCCTGTATACAAAATTATATCAAAATCGGTTCAGCCGTTTGAGCGTGAAGAAGTAACAAACGTACACACACTCACAAACTTTCGCAATTATAATATTAGTAGGATATGTCGCTATCTTTTAATATTTTTTAACAATAAAAAATTAACAGGATTAATTAAACCCACGACTATTTGTGGCAATAGAATATATTTATATGAAAACTATTTTATTACATATAAATATATTAAATCTATAATAACCAAGAATCATATATATCAATCACCTGGTTTTACTCGTCTAGTAAGTGACTCGTCTTATATGTAAATTTCCTATTGGTATATACATAGATATAGTCTAATAACATTAACGAATTAATTTTTCTTATAAGCTTTTCTTTACTATTCTTATATAATGGAATGAAACTATGTTTTAATAATAATATTATTTTCCTGAATTTTCGATTAAGAAGTCAACAGCAATGAGATCGCGGAGAGACAACATGAAATTGTATTTTACATATTTTCTTTTAATTAACATGCTGATTTTTCTTAATATATATATATTAGTTAGTCGTAGAAAATACAGACGGAAAAACACAATTAACATAAATATATTATATGATTAATGAATCTAAATTAAAATAAAGGCTATTTAATTATAGTATTGGTATATTATTACCTCCGCTAAAGAGACAATATTTTTGACAATTAAGACATTAATGATCTATGTATTAAAAACCAAGTATAAAATCTTTACAGGTAAGTAAGTTTATATTCATAGGTAACCTACATTTTCTAGTTATTTCATTCCTTTTTTTACCTGCAAATCATTATAATAGTATAAGTTTTGGTAAAAATATAAAATAACATACGATAAAATATAAAAAAATTTAATATATCTCCCGTTCGCGTGTATTGTGTCGTTTCAAGACGATAGCGATATCAGAATAGAGAGAAATAATATAATATTTTTATATATAATTAGGATTCAACATATTATTTAATAGGACATATTGATTTAAAATGGAAATATTCTTATTAAGGACACCAATATAACTATTACTTATAAGAAAACTAAACATATATATCATTCGTTTATTTTTAAACTACTAAATATATATTAGAAATCCCATATAAATCTTATAAGTGGTTATTAATATTCATGGACGATTTGAAAATTTTTCACAGAGTTCCTACAAAAAGCTCCTACGGAAGAGACTGAGCAAAAAACCTTATGTGTACATAAGAAAATATAAAATACGACTAAAAAATATATAAAGGCAACAAAAATATATTATTCTTGAGACGTTACACACAGGTGTGCTTGTATGTGTGAGTGTGTGTACGTGTGTGTGTAGAGAGGCGTGGAGTCGACAATAATTGTATGTATATAAATAATATATTATATATATAAAAATATTAATAATACATATTAAACATTAAAATTATGTTAATTAAATATTTCCAAAAATATTCATATTTTTTATTACTAAATTATAATAAATATATTAAGAAGAATACAGATAATATCTCTTTTTTAAATCAAGTATAAATTAAAAAAAAATATCGAAATATATAAATATTTTTTTTAATACATCACGAACACTGACCGCTCCATGGTTTTCTATAAGACCTATTCCTAGAACGAATAGACGTGTATGTGTATGTGTGCGTGTATGCACCTTCTCGTATGAAGTATTGACGCGGATATTAGAAATGAATACTGGACTGGATGTAACCCAACATATATATATATATATATATATATATATATATATATATATATATATTGCATATATATATATATATATATATATATATATATATATATATATATATATATATATATATATATATATATATATATATATGTTGCATTAGGAAAAGCCTTTTATAATTATTATGTTTATTGACAGTATAAAAGCATAAAGTTCCGAGGCCTTTGCCTATGTTATAAATATATTTTCTCTATTTGTTTATATTATGGTATATATTAATCCGATAGTGTATTTTACTTTACTTGTGTTTTAATTTAGTATCAATGATAAATGTTTAGATCTGGATAATATAAACATTTTCTATGAAAATATCAAATATTTAGAGGTAACTTGAACGAGTTTATACTTTACATTAAACTAACGTTGTATCAATATATTATTGTTAAATAATTAATTGCTTAATATATAAGATATTTGCTCTAAGAGAAATATATAGTTTGTTAAAACAATAGACATGGTAACCAACCGATAGCGACTTTTAAAGCCTGTCAGGTCACTTCATATAAAATGCAACTTTTATTTAGAATTTCATAGTTAATTATACCCTATATCTTTCTCCTATATCTTAACTATATCACTCTAAAGTTTCATTACAATCGGCTAAGTAATTTTACCGTAATAGCATAACAAACATCCATATGAATTCTTGTATTTATATCAATGAATATTAAATATAATAACATATCCAGTGTATATTTTCATGTAACATCCGTGTACACGCACACACACACACGTACTACATACATCTCATATCGTACTTACGACCTTCTTGGAACTCAAGAATACAATGACGTGTCGAAAAAGTATACATCATATATGTATATATACATATATATGTAGAAATAGAGAAAATTTGAAAATTATATTCAATATTATACGAATGAAATGAGTAAAAAGTTTTTTATTTTAATTTTATGTTTTTATTTTGTAAATATTATTTTTATATATATCAAACTCGTTTTATATTTTAATGTTTCATGTACAATAATTTGTCCAAAATTTAATTTATTTATTTTTACGTAAAAATAAATATCGTTAAAGATTATGTATAGTTATTTGGTCCGCGAGTGTAAACGAATGCTTCGTACGGTCAGAAAATGCATAAAATATTCTATGAATTTATTTCCGTGGATTTCAAACATAGCTGCGAAATGTCTTACGGATGTTATTTCATAGTTTTTTCTGTTTATAATACATTCATAGGAAAATAATCAATTTTTACGTAAAATATAATAAAAAGGGAAAGAATTATATTACGATTTATATTGAATTGTGGTACTTTTCAGTCAAAATGTATTTTTTGGTACTGTAGTAAAGAAAACGTATTATGTATGAATACAGAAAAATTTATAAAAAGTCGAAAATATTAATGAAATTCAATTATTTTCAAATAGAATTAATTTATTAATATATTTGTTTTGCTGTCCGTACGCTATCTTTCTTGCTATAACTTATAGTTTCGGATAATGCATTAGAGAAGTTCTTTATGGAATGGAAAATTTCATATCTATGTATGTATGAAAGGTATTTTATAGTTTACGGTTTTACCTATCTGTACTAACAAGCTGGCCGTACACAAACAATGAATTATATAATTGTAATTTGAATTTGGAACGTATTTTTAAATAAATGTATTTTTGAATTTAGAACGTATTTTAATACTATTTATGTTTTTTATCTCGTCTCGATGGACGTCCGGTTTAGAGTGATCGATGCTCGCATAACTATAATGGATGTGGTTTCAAAGGGAATTTTTCTTACTAAAAATTATTGACTTTGATAGATAAAATATTATAATATAATACAAACTGTTTATTTATATTTATTTAGCGTTTCAATTATTACCAATATATCAATATCATATATGTATGTATATCTACCCAAAACATTTAATACATTGACATTAGAATGGGTGCAATTAAATAATGATTCTAAACAAAA